TAGAAATGATCCAGAGTGTTTTTTTCTTAAGGAAGACCCATGAGTCCTGACTGCCTCTCATTTACCTGCATTTCCCTTTTAAGAAAAATTCGGCCTTAACTTCCAACCAAGTTTACCATCTTGCCCATTCCTGATGCTCCACCATTTCAGCAAGAAAAACGCTGACACTAAGACTTCCTAGGAATGAGCCTTCCTAACACATTATCCAAACAAGAGCTTGGTCATCAATACATCTGAAGATGAACAAAAGGGAAAAGGGTGCACAAAAAAGGGGCCACATACTGAACCTGACAAGCTCAGAGGCTTGCATGGCTGGCCTTACAAACTCAGAGACTGAAAGTAATCACATAGGATAGTCAGAACATAAAAATTCCTAACTAAAAGCAAGTTATGGTCGTAGTCAAGTCCTAGGCCTGCAACTTCCTTAACAAAGGTCAATCTTTATCTTAACTAAGGCTGTCTAGTGTCTTTTCACATCCAATATAACATACCTTTGAGATGTCAGAGTAATCTCTTTTTCCAGATCCCTCAAGGCACAACCATAGCACCAGAGCACAGAAGCCTTCATTATTACCTTGTTTCTCACATATCATCTATATGCTTTAAATGATAATTATTAACTATCCTATACCCACCAATGTAAAAGAAGGATCAGTCCCTCCAGTTTATTTTTTATCCAATCCCAGAGATTCCCCCCTTCCTGTTCTCCCACCCTCTTAATCTCCCACCAATGGATTTCATGTAACCCTCCTTAGTCTCTTCCTTTTATTCTAATGTGTAAAATAAGCTACAAAAACCTCTGGAGCATTTTCTCAATCTGTTGAGATTTTGCTTCCCAGCAATTGTCAGTTTGACTCAAACTCATAAAAGTTTTTTAAAAAATTGATTGGCTTTGTTGATGATAGCCATTCTGACAGGTGTGAGATGGTACCGCATTGTTGTTTTGATTTGCATCTCTCAGATGATTAGTGATTTTGAGCATGTTTTCATATGTCTCTTGGCACTTCCTTCTGTCTTCTTTCAAAAAGTATATATTTAAGTCCGTTGCCCATTTTTTGATTGGGTTGTTTATCTTCCTTTTGTTAAGTTGTATGAGTTCCCTGTAAATGTTGGAGATTAAACCCTTATTGGAGATAACATTGGCAAATATGTTCTCCCATGCAGTGGGCTTTCTTGTTGTTTTATTGATGGTTTCTTTTGCTGTGCAGAAGCTTTTTATTTTGAT